GCATTGGGTTCTGTTGTCAATGGAAGATCTTTGTGGGAGAACATTTATTAGGAAAGAGCACCAGAAACTAGGAAATCCTGAAGAACTTGATCCTTTCATCAAACAGTAAGGAAAATTAGAATGTCTACCTCAAGATGGAAAAATGTAAACTTCCTAGTTTCTTGAATTTCACAAAATTTTTAAAAGCCACAAGTCAACAGCTATTGAGATGCAAATGTTCTCATAGAGCAATAAGGCTATTTTAAATTTAAAACTAGTGATTTAATGATGAGGGGTGAAATCTGTTTCAAAAAATCCAAGACAGAGCAGAGGGAAGGGGTGAAACTATATAGGCTCTTGCATTGTGGCTCACCTGGTAAAGAATCCACCTGCAATGTGGGAGACCTGGGTTGATCCCTGGGTTGGGAAGATCCCCTGGAGAAGGGAAAGGCAACCCACTCCAGTAGAGCGGCGGCTGCGCAGCGCTGGAGTGACTTTGAGGAGATACGCCACTTCCAAGGGCAGAGAAGTCCCAGCAAGATGGTAGGTGCTGGAGCAGCGGCTGCATGGCACTGAAACAACTTTGAGGAGATACCCCATGTTCAAGGGCAAAGGACAAGCCCGAGCAAGATGGTAGGAGGGGTGAAATCTCATTTAGAATCAAACCCCACACCTGTCAGAGATGCTCAGAGGGCTCAAACAAACCTTGTGTGCACCAGGACCCAGAGACCCCACAGAGACTGAGACAAAACTGTGTCTGAGTGTCTCCTACAGAGGTATGGGTCAGCAGTGGACTGCTGCAGGGGCAGGGACTCTGGGGGCAGCAGACTTGGGTATGGCATAAGCCCTCTTGGAGGAGGTCGCCATTAACCTCACCACAGAGCTGCCAGAACTTACACAGGACTGGGAAATAGACTCTTGTTTGGAGGGCCCACACAGAACCTTGTGCACACCAGGACCCGGGAGAAAGGAGCAGTGACCCCACAAGAGACTGACCCAGACTTGCCCGTGAGTGTCCAGGAGTCTCCGGGGGAGGCGTGGGTTGGCAGTGACCTGCTGCAAGCTTGGGGGCACTGGGTAGAACAGTGTGAGCATGGGACCTTTCGAAGGAGGTCACCATTATCTTCATTACCTCCACCTACTTTGCCCCAGGTTATTAACAGGGAGGGAACACAGCCCCACAACACCAACAGAAAATTGGATTAAAGATTACTGAACATGGTCTCGCCCATCAGAACAAGACCCAGTTTCCACCTCAGTCAGTCTCTCCCATCAGGAAGCTTGCATAAGCCTCTTATCCTTCTCCACCAGAGGGCAGGCAGACTGAAAACCACAAAACCACCATCACAGAAAATTAACCAATCTGATCACGTGGACCACAACCTTATCTAACTCAATGAAACTATGAGCCATGCCATGTAGGGCCACCCAAGATGGACGGGTCATGATGGAGACTTCTGACAAAACGTGGTCCACTGGAGAAGGGAATGGCAAACCACTTCAGTAGTCGTTCCATGAATCCCATGAACAGAATGAAAAGGCAAAAAGATAAGACACTTAAAGAGGAATTCCCCAGGTCAGTAGGTGCCCAATATGCTACTGGAGAAAGTGGAGAAATAACTCCAGAAAGAAGGAAGAGATGGAGCCAAAGCAAAAACAACACCCAGCTGTGGATGTGACTGGTGATGGAAGTAAAGTCTGATGCTGTAAATAGCAATATTGCATAGGAACCTGGAATGATAGGTCCATGAATCAAGGCAAATTAGAAGTGGTCAAACAGGAGATGGCACAAGTGAACATCAACATTTTAGGAATCAGTGAACTAAAATGGACTATAATGGGTGAATTTAACTCAGATGACCATTATATCTACTACTGTGGGCAGAAATCCCTTAGAAGAAATGGAGTAGCCATCATAGTCAACAACAGAGTCCAAAATGCAGTACTTGGATGCAATTCAAAAACAACAGAATGATCTCTGTTATTTCCAAAGCAAACCATTCAATATCACAGTAATCCAAGTCTATGCCCTGACCAGTAATGCTGAAGAAGGTGAAGTTGAATGGTTCTATGAAATTCGACAAGACCTTCTAGAGCTAATACCCAAAAAAGATGTCCTTTTCATGATAGGGGACTGGAATGCAAAAGTAGGAAGTTAAGAAATACCTGGAATAACAGGCAAATTTAGCCTTGGAGTACAGAATTAAGCAGGGCACAAGCTAATTGAGTTTTGCCAAGAGAATGCACTGGTCATAGCAAACACCCTCTTCCAACAACCCAAGAGAAGACTCTGCACATGGACAATGTGCAGATGGTCAATACTGAAATCAGATTGATTATATTCTTGCAGACAAAGATGGAGAAGCTCTATACAGTTGGCAAAAAGAAGACTGGGAGCTGACTGTGGCTCAGATTATGAACTCCTTATTGCCAAGTTAAGATTTAAATTGAAGCAAGTAAGGAAAACAACTAGACCATTCAGGTATGACCTAAATCAAATCCTTATGATTATACAGTGGCAGTGAGAAATAGATTCAAGGGATTAGATCTGATAGACAGAGTGCCTGAAGAACTGTGGATGGAAGTTTGTGACATTATACAGGAGGCAGGGATCAAGACCATCCTGAAGGGAAAAAAATTCAAAAAGGCAAAATGATTGTCTGAGGAGACCTTACAAATAGCTGAGAAAAGAAGAGACGCAAAAAGCAAAGGAAAAAAGGAAAGATATACCCATTTGAATACACAGTTCCAAAGAATAGCAAGGAGAGATAACAAAGCCTTCCTCGGTGATCAAGGCAAAGAAATAGAGGCAAACATTAGAATGGGAAAGACTAGAGATCTCTTCAAGAAAAGTAGAGATGCCAAGGGAACATTTCATGCAAAGATGGGCACAATAAAGGACAGAAATGGTATGGACCTAACAGAAGCAGAAGATATTAAGAAGAGGTGGCAAGAATACACAGAATATATGAAAAAGATCTTCATGACCCAGATAACCATGATGATATGATCACTCACCTAGAGCCAGACATCCTGGAATGCAAAGTCAAGTGGGCCTTAGGAAGCATCACTGAAAACAAAGCTAGTGGAGGTGATAGAATTCCAGTTGATCTATTTCAAATCCAAAAGATGATTCTGTGAAAGTGCTGCACTCAATATGCCAGCAAATTTGGAAAACTAAGCAGTGGCCACAGGACTGACAAAGATCAGTTTTCATTCCAATCCCAAAGAAAGGCAATGCCAAAGAATGCTCAAACTCAATGCACAATTGAACTCATCTCACACTCTCGTAAAGTAATGCTCAAAATTCTCTAAGCCAGGCTTCAACAGTACATGAACTGTGAACTTCCAGATGTTCAAGCTGGATTTAGAAAAGGCAGAGGAACAAGAGATCAAATTGTCAACATCCCTTGGATCATCAAAAAAGCAAGAGAGTTCCAGAAAAACATCTACTTCTACTTTTACAGAACATCTACCGTGCCAAAGCCTTTGACTGTGTAGATCACAACAAGCTGTGAAAAATTCTTCAAGAGTTGGGAATACCAGACCACCTTACCTGCCTACTGAGAAATTTGTATGCAGGTCAGGAAGCAACAGTTAGAACTGGACATGAAAAAGCAGACTGGTTGCAAATAGGAAAAGGAGTAGGTCAAGGTTGTATATTGTCACCCTGCTTATTTAACTTATATGCAGAGTACATCATGAGAAACGCTGGGCTGGATGAAGCACAAGCTGGAATCAAGATTGCTGGGAGAAATATTAATAATCTCAGATATGCAGATAACACAACCCTTGTGGCAGAAAGCAAAGAACTAAAGAGCTTCTTGATGAAATTGAAAGAGGAGAGTGAAAAAGTTGTCTTAAAACTCAACATTCAGAAAACTAAGATCAAGGCATCTGATCCCATCACTTCATGGCAAATAGATGGGGAAACAGTGACAGACTTTATTTTTGGGGGCTCCAAAATCATTGCAGATGGTGACTGCAGTCATGCATGAAATTACAAGACACTTGCTCCTTGGGAGAAAATTTATGACCAACTGAGACAGCATATTAAAAAGCAGAGACATTACTTTGCCAACAAAGATCTGTCTAGTCAAAGCTATGGTTTTTCCAGTAGTCATGTATGGATGTGAGAGTTGGACTAATAAGAAAGCTGAGCGCTGAAGAATTGATGCTTTTGAACTGTGGTGTTGGCAAAGACTCTAGAGAATCTCTTGGACTTCAAGGAGATCCAACCAGTCCATCCTAAAAGAAATCAATCCTGAATATTCATTGGAAGGACTGATGCTGAAGCTGAAACTTTAATACTTTGGCCACCTGATGCGAAGAGCTGATTCATTTGAAAAGACCCTGATGCTGGGAAGTATTGAAGGTGGGAGGAAAAGGGGACGACAGAGGATAAGATGGTTGGATGGCATCACCTAGTCGATGGACATGAGTTTGAGTAAACTCCTATAGTTGGTGTTAGACAGGGAGGCCTGGCGTGCTGCAGTCCATGGGGTGGCAAAGAGTTGGACACAACTAAGCAACTGAACTGAACTGAACAATGTATATGCAACAAGACTGTGTTGACTATTGTCAAAATATCTACTTTATATATGTGAAATTCTCTGTAAGTCTTAAAATGTTAAGAAATAACATTTAAAAATTCTTTTAAGATATGATCTAGAGAAAAGGGCAGTTCTCCAAGTGGAATAAATTTAGCTCCATAGAAATGTTCACTATACCTCAGTGTGGAACAGTGAATGCATTTTCATTAAGCAACTAGAACTCCTGAAGATCGGCTTTAGGAGATGCTGACTGGAAAGATGCTCTAGCCTATGATCCTGAAACAAGATTAGTCTTAATATTTCACTCCACACAAATACAAGTTATTCTACTGGAGATTTATTAGAAAACAAAACTATAAGAACCTCCTGCTTCTCTATTAAAGGAAGAGGGAGTTAATATCAAAGAGAAAACTCTTATCTCTGTGAACCTACAGGAAGTGATCAAAGGAAGTAGGAAGACAAACTCACCTGGCCTTATACTCAACTCTTGAATGATTTTTATATCATTGAACCATCCTCTTTTCTCAATACGGCAGCAATACAAGCCACTGTCAGATGGGACAGTATTCTCTATTTTCAAAGACAAATCCCTTTCACCAATATTTCCTTTAAGCTGATAACGTCTGTCCTTCTGAACAATGACTTTGTATCCATCAGTCCAGATAATGTTACTTCCGCAGCTCAGCAAAGAACATGCCCCTCGGCCCCAGCATGCAGTTGTGATTTCTCCAGTATATGAGCAGGGTAGCCTGACAGACTGACCCGCTACTCCAGTCACTCGATGGTAAGAGGTTACACCATCTGTAAATAAAGAGAAACCAGAGCATGAGAACATGAGGTCTCAATCTTTTAATTTTAATAAGTTTAATTTTTTTCATATAGCTTATTTGGTTTGAAATTATGTGACTATATCTTGAGGTTTTAGAATTTAGTATAAGCAAATTTCCATGTTAACATGTTCTTCAGCAGCATCACTATTTACTAGATATGACTGAAGATGAAAGATCATAGAAACATTTTTTTTCAATTAATGAAAATGTCCTATACTTCCCAATAGGACAGATTTTCTAGAGAAAATATCAGGATAAAGGTCAGATATATGTTCAGCCTTTTTGGTGGACATGACCAAACTTTTCTCCAAAAGATTTGATTGAAACAAATGACATCTAGTAATGTATGAGTATGTGGATATCCATCCTGTATTTGACAGGTGTCTGTTTATTAAATATGTAAAACATATTGGTGGCTTTTCCTTTCTCCTAGATTCAATCACTGTCTTAACTAAAATCTGGTTTAAAAATTCTATTGCATTCAAAGTTTTGATTTTCAATTTTTATTTGAATTTTCCAATGGCCATTGAACATAGTCACTTCATAATACCCTCTCTTATTTAAATTTTAAAAAACAGGTCTAATATTTCATTAAATGTCATTGACTAGAAGGCAGAAGTCTTGTAAACTCTTCAGAAGTCAGTTTTTAGGAAAATGGGTTTATAATACTTTTAGGAGAAATTGAATCTTACGGGCTTTAGGGTCATTCCAAAAAATTCAAGCAAGGATCTTTTCTTGAGTTATGTGCAATGAATCACAGTCCACTTACACAGGCAAAACCAAAAAATTGGAGAATATTCAGTAAAATACTAAATTTTGTCTCTTAGAAACAAACAGGCATGAAAACTCTCACCTGTGGCAGAGGATTAAAAACCCTGCATTGGCAAAAATTTCCTAAAAGAAACATAAGATTTAACAGCTTATCATAGTTTGGACTTCCCTGGTGGCTCAGATGGTAAAAAGCGTCTGCCTACAATGTGGGAGACCTCGGTTCGATCCCTGGACCAGGAAGATCCCCTGGAGAAGGAAATTGCAACCCACTCTAGTACTCTTGCCTGGATGGATGGAGGAGCCTGGTAGACTACCGTCCATGGGGTTGCAAAGAGTCGGACACAACTGAGCAACTTCACTTTCACTTTCACTTTTCATAGTTAGGACTGGGCTGTGAGTCTGGGAAGTGCTTTGGGAATAAGACATTCATTGTTACATAGTATAAGAGTATTTTCTTCACTGGAATTTTGATAATATTTAATTTTGCTTAATATCATTTTGGGATCCCAAAGCTAATGCATATTAATTTTAAAAATTTGTTATAGAAGTATAATTTTAAATTGTACTTTTACTCATATTCCACCTCTAAAGATTGTTTTTAAATTTTTAGGATATATCTATCACTAATTTTCTCCCCTCTCTCATAGAATGTTTTGAATTAAAACATTTTATCTATTAAAAAAAATTTTCCCATATAGCACAGATGAGGAATCTTAGTTCCCCAATGAGGGATGGAACCCACAACCACTACATTGGAAGCATGGAGTCTTAAGCCACTGGAAAAGAGGGAAGGTAAAATATTTTCTTTTTAAAGAAATGGTTGCATATGGTTAAAAAAAATAAAAAAGCACAAAATGGTACAATAAAGGACTCGTCTCCTTCCCATCTGTCCCCATTTCTTCTTCCCATTCCCTTCCATGCCATGATAACAATGGTTACTGTTTACTGCATACACATGAGTAGCTCATGCATACACATGAATAACACAAATGGCAGCATATGCATATGCACTGTATCATGCCTTGTTCATCTAGCTATAGATTTTATAATTCTTAGTGTTTAAGCAATTTCTTTGGCTTAAGGTTTCAGCCTTGTTCTTTGTTCACTAGTTGACCCCGTTATTTTTAAACAATGCCCTAGAAATCTACCCTGCTTGACCATACCTACATATCCTCTACATTCCCCCATCCTCAGGGCTTCCAAAGCACAGCCCACCTGTTCACCTACCTGTCAGAAGGAGTAGGAGGCCCAGGATGGCTACCCAAGGGTGCATGATGCTACTGGCCTGAAGGAAAGAGAAGGTTGTCTGGTTTGTACGCTCCCAGGCAGATGGTATCAGATTGGACACCACTAGGTGCCTTTCCAGGGGTTCCAAATAGCTCAGGTTCCTTATGCCTCAGCACAGGAAAAATTGAGCCAGAGCCTGAGGGATGATAGATGAGAAGTGATCCATTAAAATAGGATGCTTGTAAGGTGACCACTGTGCTGCCTCAAGTACTTGTGGGTTACATTTGTATAACCGAAGAAAGAAAGAGAGGGTAGAAGACCTCCTTCTTTTTCACTGTTAGTCTTCTTGGATGGGAGAATGTTTGATCCTGGATGGTGCATCCGGCACTGTCATGGCACTATGGAAAAATTTTTCCAGGTCTCAGGACAATGAGGGTTGTTCAGTGTGAAATGTCACATATCCAACTCTGGCAAATGTTTTAATCTCTACAAATATCAGTTTCTTCTCCTTTATAATGAATGTGATAATAGAATCATCCCAAACATCTGGACAAGGGTTCACAATAAGATAATGCTCTGAAAGCATCAAACGCAGCCCTTTCCTATAATAAGCACCAAGTAACTATTGCTTATTATCAATAACTCCAAGAATAATATTGATAGTCCGGAATGCTCCCCTGTGAGATGTTACATACGAAAGCTTTGGTATAGTGGCAAGTCCCTATTCAGCACTTACACTGTATCATCACAGTAATGATTATTTGATCAGTGGGAGGTGCCAGTCATCAGACACCAATCCCCACCAAGGCATCTGTAGGTCCACCCAGCCCCACATTTCCAACTTCCTGTTAGATATCACCCAAGGGCACTTCAAACTCAAGATCACCCAAATATTTTTCATTCTTCCTTCTGGGGTTCCTTTACCAGTGAACCCATCACATCACCTACAGTCCCAAGTACAGAGAATCAGTCATCCTTCCTTCTTACTCCAGTCACCAGCTCATCTCAATTCCAAGTCCTCATGGCTCTGACTCTGTCCCTTCTCTGCTGTTACTGCTGCCATCACTCTAGCTGACACACTCCTCTCCTGTCTGAATAACAGCAGGAGCCTCCTGGGGAGCCTCTCTGCCTCCAGGCCTACTCCTCTCCAATACAGCTTCCACAGTCTTGCCAGCACAATATTTCCAAAAACAGAGCTGCAAGTGCCATTCCCTTCTCCAAACACATGAACAGTTTCTTAGGACCCTGGGATCAAATCTAAATTCCTCAGTCCATCAGTCAAAGCCTTTTTAGAAAGATGGTAATGATAACCCTATGTGCAAAACAGAAAAAGAGACACAGATGTACAGAACAGACTTTTGGACTCTGTGGGAGAAGGTGAGGGTGGGATGTTTCAAAAGAACAGCATCGAAACATATATATTATCTATAGTGAAACAGATCACCAGCCCAGGTTGGATGCATGAGACAAGTGCTCGGGCCTGGTGCACTGGGAAGACCCAGAGGAATCGGGTAGAGAGGGAGGTTGGAGGGGGGATCGGGATGGGGATTATATGTAACTCCATGGCTGATTCATGTCAATGTATGACAAAACCCACTTCAATATTGTAAAGTAATTAGCCTCCAACTAATAAAAATAAATAAATAAATAAAAAAGAACCTAAGCTACTCCTAGCTTCCTGTCCCCATTAGATTAAACTAGACTCTTAAACAATCACAGAGATTCCATGCTCCTATAAGTCCCCCTATCTCTGCTCAGACTGTTACCCTTCCTGTTCACTCTGCTCAATGAAACGCTCTCATCCATGAAAAGCCAATTCAAGGATCTCTGAGAGAAATCATCCTGGCCCTCCTATCTCAATTAGAATCCTTCTCTCCTTCCTTTGGATTCCCAGGGCACTTCTTCATACTTCTACCCCCAAACAAAGCCCACTGAGTGGTTGCTTGCTCACCCCAGCCTGTGTATCCCACACCTTTATGAACAGAGGTCAAGATTTCCTCATTTGATATGTTGTGGTCCCTGCATAGAGAAGCAATGAGGTAAGCCATGTTTAATGCATCCTAGATTTGAAAGGTGTTTACCAAGTATCATGCTACATATTTATATATATCCAAATGAAGTCCCAAGAAAAAGATATAAAATCTCATCTCCAACCACTTTTCCCTCTAAGAATCCCTTGATCTGCTGGAAAGGTCAGCTTGCTCAGACTATGGAGCTTTGGCTGGTTTTGTAAAACAGAGAGACATGTAAGAGAACAAATGCTCCTAAAAGTTCCCCATGCCCACTTTTCCACCATCCAACCCTGAGACCAAGAAAGACCTATTGTAAGAATCTCAAGGAAAGAAAAATGTGACTATTATCAGAGCAGTGTTCACTTTATTTCCAGTTTTCCTGGATTGACAGCCAAGTCATGCATATTTGGGGTGCATTGAAAACTGCTTGGACATCATACTGTTGATGAGCATGAAGATCCAATTCAGGGCTGAGAAAAAGTGAATACTGATACTTGAGGAGCAAATAGGAAAACCTGCCCTCAGGGAGCTCTCCTGAGAGAGTTGCTGCCAGTCATGGGACAAACAGTAACTGTACATGGGATCAGAAGAACTGGCCTCTGGTCTCAGCAATCTCCCTAACTCACTGCAAGCCCTCTCTCACCTCACTGGCCTTTTCTGGGCCTCAATTTAATATCAGTTTCCTACTGACAACATCATCCCCAGGGTTCTATGGGCCCAAATTTAAACCATCTGAAACCGAGGAACAAGTCTCAGCTCTCCCTCTGCTTTGCTCTGTGATCTTGGGAAAGTCGCACCATGTCTCTGAGCTCCATTTCTAGGCAGCCACAGAGCGGAGGTAAGGATTTGCCTACCTAGGTAGGGCTTCTTCAGATGGTGTCTGCAGACCAAACACATTCGGAGTAGAGGAGGGCCCTGTAGCAGGAGATCCATACTTTGAGATGTCTCATAAAATAAATAATACAAGTCAGGAAGCCCTTGCATGGCTTACTTGACCACAACTCTTTTAAAAAAAAACAACAACACAATTTCTGAGCCTAAATCATAGAATGGAGCCTCTCTATTAAGTGATGTGAGCAGGACAAAACAACTGAGAGGCATCAGATGCTTAAAGATGTCCATCTGGAGGAACAAAACCTAGAGAGAAACAAAACTGAGAGTTCTGTACAGCCACGTAAAAAGGAGTCAGTGGAGCTTTCAGAAACTCAGATTTATTCTAATAGTGAGTCAAGTATGACTACCGTTGAGTTTTGGTTTTTTTTAATTTTTGTCACTTCTCCAAGTTTGTAATTTTGCCACGCATCACGGCTATTCCTCTGGTGTGATGACCAGTGGAAAAAAACAATCATAAAACCAAAAATTGTCTCTGTACTTGGAAGGAACTAAGTCAGCTGGGAGCTGGTAGATGTGGCCTCTTGCTCTCCAGCCGGCCTGGCCTGAGAATGAAGGTGTGTGAATAGGAAGAGCAGCAGAGATGCAGTGAGGAGAGGGGATGGGAGTCCCGCATGAGGGCTCTCATTCAGCACCAGGAATTATGGACCAGGCACTGATCTCACGCATTTCCTAAGTCAACAGCCCTGTGAAACATGTACTATTATCTCCATGGTACATTTTGAGGAAAGAGATTTAGAAAAGCTTAGAACAAGAACTTGAGATTTTAAAAGAAAAAATAAGGCATACAAGGTGGAGCTGAGACTTACACTTCCCAACAGAGGTCTTTTAACCTCCACTTAGTGCTACCAGAAGACTGGGAGGGAAAAGGACTAGAAACAAAGGATTGGGGATATTATTGAGGTAGCAAAAGTGAGATTGAGGCATAAACACAGGGAATTTAATCTCAGGCCACTGGATTTTGTTTAGGAAATGACTTAGTCATGTGGGTCTCCTCATGCTGGCTTCAGGCTCCTGACTCAGTAGAGATATTGGGTCTGTAGGAGACAATTTGGGACCATTTCACACATCCTGCGACCAAATGAGAAATGAAATTAATCCTCAGGCTCAATGGAATGATCTGAGTTCCCATCTAACTGAGGTGTAAAAGTTCATATTCCTGTAACAGACTGCATTTATCTGGGTCTAGGAAACCTATGAGAACGTAAATTGTGTTGTTGTTATTGCTATTTGTCTGTGTTTGAATTAGGTTCCTCATCATTTGGGGCTTTGCAGAATTCTTGGAGAATCTGATAAGAGTTCTAGACTTTTATACATACACAATTATATGTGTGTGTGTGTGTGTGTTTATGTTTAAAGTGGCCTTCAACCATCCACTTGCCACCCAAAAACTGAATGAAGAAACTAGGAAGGTATTGGGAATATTTAGCCAAAGCAAGAAAAATCCCACAGAGGCATGCGGGTTCTCTGAATAGGTTGAAAGCATTTTTATGCAAGTGAAGAAGTGTTATTCAATAAGTGGTTCCAGAGGGTAGATGGGGCAGGGACACTGTGGCATGATGTCAGAATGACACCAGAATCGAGCAGACATGAGTTAAATCAAGGTCTATCATCTACCAGACAAGCTGTATAACCCTCATGGATTCTAAAATGTAAGTGATAATGATATCTATTTCATAATATTTTATCAAAAACAAAATGAGCTAATATATGTAAAATGTATAATGTTGAAACAATGACAGACTTCAGTACATGTTAGCTTCTCTAATAAACTCTTTGACTCTCCATATCTTTACTTGTAAAGTGGGAATAATATTTGCACCTGGCTAGAAGGTCATTGTGAGATGTAAATAAGAGAATACATGTTAAAACCCTTATACAACAGCTAACACCTACCTAACTCCTCAGTATGGATTATAAATGCTTCATTACAAATACCATAGGGGAAAAAGAAGGTCAATGACAAAAATAGGATATTTTATTTCAGACTGGAAGATAAGGCAAAATAAAATAATATCTAAAAGTATGGAATCAGAGCAAGACTTCCTGGATCTGGCAACCAAGAGTTATGCAGTCTTGAGAAAGCTATGTCAAAAAGAGATAGAAGCATTGCTAAGAGGGATTGAATGACAATCCCTGAGAA